ACCCAATATGGGGAAAAACCATAGTTAAGGAAAAAATAGTACAACGCGTATTTTCTCCCCCTAATGAATACATAACTTGAGATCTTCCAAGGCATCTGACGCCTTCGGGTAACTTGCACAATGCACTTGTAGTAGGATAACAAACATTCCGATTCTTAATAGCAGATCCTAATTGAACTTGAATCTTCAAATCTTCAATGTGAAAGTCATCTTCATTTCTTCATACTTGTGAAAATAATACAAACATGTGTTCCATTTACCAATCTTATATATTTGATATTTATATTTCAAGTTGCCATAACCATTAACTTATGCCTTCTTCTGGAGGTCATATAGAGTAGCTATATATTGATAATCAAATATTGATCATAATCTATGGCAACTCATAATATCATCATCATTGTACAATCTTATGAATTATTAGTAATATAATGTATTGTAAGTAATCATATAACTTGCTCATGATTCTTCTGGATCATAAGAAGTTTATTCTCACTATAAGATTGTAACATAAAATATTTCATTGTTATTTATATTTTTTAGACTTTTGTAATAGTGTTCTCTAATGGATACAAAATCTAATTAACTTTTACATACTTAAACTTCAGGTTGAGATGTCAATAATTTAGTCATCAATACTCTTCGGGAGTTTGAAATTAACTTCAACACTATGATATTCAAAGTATAAAAACTGAAGGGCTAGATATTTGAATAAATAGTATATAAGTTCTTCGAGAACTTCTCAAGCATGATTCATAACATGTTATTAAATCGTCATCATATAGAATTTCATCATAACTATAAGCCCATCTGAGTATAAATTTCTTCTTGTAAGCCTTCATCATAATTGTAAACTCGTCATACCATATTTTATACAAACATTCACATGTACCACGATTATTGTATGAAAACTAGAATATGTTATATGAAATGTATAATTCTTGACATATATGGATGATGCAATTGAACAAAATATGCATAATGAATTATGCATCTAATGACTTCCTACACATGCAATAAATGATAATTTACCTATGACTCAAACATGCACATAAAAGACTCAAAATGCAAAACACTGTACAATGTGGATTTTAGAAATCCATATTTTTGCTTGGTCTTCTGGTCCATGATAAGCTTAATTGTTATTAATGTGTCGACATCAAGGTGGATAATAATTTTTTATCCCTTATTTTAAGTCCACCCCTTCTGCATATGCATAATAACCATCGGTTCCATCACATACTGGTATCATAATATAATTTGAAATTCAATTTTCACTTGCATGTTATTTTACAATGATATTTGACTACATTTCTCATTGGTACCATCATAACTTTTCTTACATCATAGGTCATCTATTATAATAATTCAGATATATATACCACTTTTGGGGTATTTCATACACTATGGTATTTATATACTATTACAATATTAAAAGTGTCAACTGCACTATCTTGCCATATATCACATCTTTATTTTGGAACCGATTATACAATCTACACTTCAGGTGTAGTGATTCAAGTATACATAATTGACAAGCTTTATCTCAATGTATACACATGATATGACCAAAATGTACCTCTGTATGCTTCTAGAAGGGTCATAACGGTATACAAATCAAATTATACATGTGCAATATATCTTGATAACATATGGACGAAAGTTGGCTAGAAAACATTTTAAATTACCATTATATATATAGGGATCATCAGTTTAATTAATTTTTTGCCAACTTACTCCAATTCTCCCCCTAAGTTGGTAAAATATCTCATATATAGGGGCATCACAATTCTTCACCAACTTAGTATACGAATTCGCAATAAAATTCATTTCGTGGGAGGATCATAATCAACAAAATTTATCTCTAAGAAAAATTATATTAAACAAGCTTTTATCTCTTCTAGAGAGCAATGTTAAAGAAAAATCATTTCTTCATTAATTATATATTGTATAACGCATATGTATTTACTATTAAGTCTTTCATAATTTGTTCTTTTCAGGAGATCAATAATTCAATATCAATGGGGAGACATATGTTGTGCAGCTGAATTTCCTTCTTTTCCTATTTCTTATGTGCTGACATACAATGACCCTAATCAATAGAATTGTTATACAAATATAAACTTGCTTGTAATTCTACTAGGTGATGATCTTCTGGATCACTAGAAACCTAGATAGTATGATACTAATTAAATATTCAGAATTTTCACATACAACTTGTATTTGGTGAGCTTCTGGTCACCAACATGTGACAACATATAAGTTATTCTGGTGAACTTCTAGTCACCTATTACTCTTTCGTATGAAAATTTATTCAAAACGAATATATTATCTCTTGAAATTTTCTTCAACACAAATCATTAAAAATTACAATCCAAATATATCTCAATCTCAATGTTATGTCTTGTCATTCAATTCATTTCATATATCTAACATTGATAGAGTGTCAGCACATTATCAAATGAAACTTCAGGTTTCCATAACGGGTAATTATTGAACCCGGATGGCTAATTTAATTATCACATCCAATCATTTATCTAAATTTAAATTCTGGTCATTTTTCCAACACTAGTGTTTACTTTATTAGATATAATTTATGCATTGCCGTGAGTATGATGTGATATTATAACACCAATGTGTGTTTCTTTATACATTTGGCAAGACAATCAACTGATACTTAATCCAATAATAACTCAGCTCATACCCTATTGGAGCATTATTATAATCTTGATAAATGCTAATCTTGTTGGACATTTTATACTCTTCTGGAGTATTTTATATAATCATGGTACATAATAAACTTACTAAACATATTCTCTTATACAGATTTAGCACAATGTATCACTTTCTCAAATTTGCTATTGTCAATAATTGTTCTTTGCTGTTTGAAAATTCTTATCTTTGGAACTTAATTGGCTACTACGCTTCAGGCGTGCTTTAAGATCATTAGAAACTATTGTTATCCTTCTAGGATATCAATTTTAATTAGAGCATTTACAGTTGGTATATAGTCAATGACATTTATTCATATTCATCTTCCGAATGGTGTCATTGTAAATTTGTAATATAGTTATAATTATGTGGCCGCCTTATTAAATAAATCATCGACATTTAAGCTAATGTATGTACCAAACTGATCATCAATGTATCTTATTATTCATGTGCAAGGATTAGATATAAAAATGAAATAAATGTTATCTCCCCCTAATCCTTACATATGGGGGTATAGAACCAATTCTACAACCTTTATAATTTAATCTCTTGCACTTTTTAAGCCATAATTTCTTTTGACAATGTCATTTATCAAGCAAGGTAAAACTACTCTTATAAAACTCTTATTTGTTTCTCTTGCCCAATTATATTAATCTTTATATTGCAAATTCTTAAAACTATGGGCATAATAAATACATTTTTCGAGTAAGGTGCTCACAATGTCATGTTTAATTTCTTAAACTCATAAACATTATTTCTCGGCTGAATAGATAATATATAATCATGTTTTGCAATTCTTATTTAATGAATCGTAAATAAGAAAACATCATTTCAAACATGCTTATTATCGTTTCAATCATACAAATCCTGATTTACTTTAGGGAGTGAGTAAATCTAGTAATTTATGAATCACCATTTCACACCCACCCAGGGTTCGGTGTCTAGGTACTATCAAAATCTTTTGTATATACTTTCCTCATGACATTGTGTTTATAGATTCACACTATTCCTAGTATTGTGAAATGTGAATGTAGATTTTTTAAGCAACATACTATATTAGAAACTAATATATATATTTAAGTCATATACGTATCATAATATTATTTTTGAGGCTTTCTGACTCTTCATAAATTAAACGAACTTCAGGTCCATATGTATGAATATATCATGTTTAATTTACGCATCATTCTTGTAATCCAGCTTCATGTAGGCATATTATATCATATAAAATCAAATTTAAATACGCATCAATTAATATTTCAACATTGGGATCATGTCAGTACGTTTTATAATAATATCAACTTATCAAGTTACTAACATTTCATGTCAGCCGAAAAACCATACTTAAGAAATTTCACAGAATCCAGCATATCAAGGTCATACATGAAACTTATGTAGCACATAATTCACTATACACATCACCCACACTTATAAATACCTATGATTTATGTGAAACACTTTAGAGAAAATAATTCTTCATAATTAAAATTTCCTACATCACGATACGTATATCACATGTGAATTTACATGACTCCTGTCATGTATTTAGAAAATGAAAACTAACTTCTTAGGTGAATAACATATTATATGTATAAACAACAATTTGGGATTATGTATGAAATAATTTCAACATAGCGCAAAATCCCATTAAAGCTTCCTACGTAGTACAATTTATTAGACACATAAATATATAATGACGCAGTTGAGAATATTCATCATTGTGGAGGGCATTTACTATCCTTTTGAGACTAGATTAAAATTCGCATATTATCAAGAATAGTAAAACAAGTGAACTATTTTAAAAGAAGCCAAAAATTAAACATAAGTGTGCCCTGATACCTACATGACTTTATTTTGGAAGCAACCATACCATCCAATCTGGAATGTTTTATTCTCGACTTTTTCCACTGTATATAATTTCTATACATGAAAGATATAACTTATATTCATCACGAAGGCGTCAAAAATAGGTGAAGGTTTTACGATTTATCAACCAACTCTTTTGTACAGATTTATCATCCCGTATAATAAATAGTCACAAAATATACATAAATATTAAAGAAATAGAGGTACAAACTTCATGTTTTTACCACATGTGGATTACATACAAATTAACTTTTTTGCGACCTTGCTATTGAATCAAGCTTTTCACTTTAGCTATCAAGTGTAGAGGTATAATGGATGTTTTCTAGATCAAGAAAAAAAAAAAATCAGAAGCCGCCAGTCTACCAGAGGAAATATGGACAGATATCCTTATGAGACTCCAGCCGGAAACCCTTGTAAGATACATGCTTGTTTGCAAGTGTTGGTGCTCTATCATCTTATTCATCAACAACAAAGATTTTGTTTCAAAGCAGTCAAACCTTTTCAACACCAACCAAAACAATGAGCTACTTACAGTGGAAAGAACCGAAAAGAATAACATTGTTAAGGAGGTAATAAGATTCCGGAGAAGTAGTTCATTTAAGAGTATATCTATTAAGACTATATACTTAAGTGAAGGGATCATGGTTAAGGGTTACGCGAATGGGGTGTTCTTGATGGGTAGATTGCACTCCCCTCTTGTTTTTCAATTATGGAACCCTAGCATTAACAAGTTCGCGTCAATTCCTGAATGTCCTTTTCTAAGAAATGAACATTCTAGCCATAGTTTGTCGTCTTCTTTTGGTTGTGATTCTTTGTTACATGATATTAAAGTGGTGGTTGTTAAGACTTCCCCTAGGTTAATTTTTAGTCGAGTTCCTAACTCGATTGCAATTTTTTCACTAAGACTTGGCCTATGGAATCTTAAGCTATTGGAGGGTGTGGGAGATCGGTGGCTAATTAAGGGAAACCCACTTTTCTCCAAAGGGACTTTGAATTGGCTAGCACGCGATGAAAGGGTCGAACATGGTAGTGGTAGACCTACCCATATCGCGTCATTTGACTTGGGTATTGAGGCATTTACCTTTGTTAAATTGCCAGAGGATGGAACAGGGGAGAGGGAAAAGCCTCTACGGTTTATCTTCCTTCTTGGAGGATCGGTAGGTCTCTTCGATGTTTCGCCTTGGCAAAACAGCATATGGGTGCTAGATAACAAGGATGCACAAGAGCCATGGACTAAGTGGTTTTCAACAGATTCATCTCATGGTTTGTACGAGTTTTTCCAACATCATGGCTGTAATATTAGTCACTTGTGTTATGTTGAGAAGACTAGCAAGTTTTTCATGTTGATAGAGGGAAAAACAAAGTCCTATGATCTCAAAAATCATCAGATTGTCGATCTAAGAACGTCTAAATGTCTAATGGTGCTTATGTAAGCTATACCAGTTAGGCTTTTTAAATGTAGCAAGTATTTTTAACTTGTTTAATAATACATACTCCAATCTGATGTTGATTAGCAAGCTTCTGTTTCAATATATTGTGTTTACTTCACACTTATCTCATTGTTGTTAACAAACTGCCATACATAGTACAGTAGCTAATTACAGTAGAAATTTTCCATCTTTTGCAATTACAGTCTGAATTCATGTAACCCAATACTGATTGATTTTCTCATCCATCTTATGCTAATCAACAAGGCGAAAATTATTTAACTCTGTGATCTCTAAGTTGGGATAATGGAAATTGTACAAGAACTAACCAAATTGTTACCTCAAATTTGATTAAAATGTTACTGAGCATAATACTATCTCAAAATCATACCGATAATACTCAAATGGAGAGGCTACTACAGAATTCTTTGTAATCAACAACTCTACCAAGATCCGAAAATACAATTTGCAATAAAAACACACAACATATAACTGGACACTTTAATACACCTTATTCTAAAGACTGATAACTGAAAATGATGCAGAGTCATCTACTACTATTGAAACACACTTCCCATTAACATTAACAACTACCAATTCAGTTTTCCTTGTTTATATCCTCCAAGCAACACTAAGCTTTCTTTATAAGTATCAATAAATTCGATGATCTGCCTATCATGTCTTCCAAGGTTCTTTAGTTGTTGGTTTTTGAAGTCATATGAGAACACCTGCCTCGATTTTCCATAGAACAATAATTCAGCATTCTCCTTCAAGCACAAGAATTTATGAATGCGAAGATTCACACTAAACCGTTTTGTCCAAGAATAATGACCATTTGTGTCGTAAATATCCCTGACCCATACACAAACCTGTTGATATGTAAAAGAAAAGTCTATAATTGCCAGCTTCGTATCCAAAACTGATGCACATCTCTTTGGTGGCTGCTTCCCGCCTTCTTCGAGTTCAAGATCAGGCAACTTTATACAAGTAAAAGCCTCACTTGATACATTAAAACACAGTAGATGTGAATACCTTGCTCGTCTTTTCATATCATCACTAGCAAACCAATAAATTGCACCTTGGAAATTCGTTGTCGACGAGAAATTCTTCAAGTAAAGCTTAGGAATAGTTGGATATGATCTCTTGTGAATATTGTACTTCAGTGAAGACCATAAACCTGCTCTTAGTCTATAAACCTTACTTTTCGAATAGTTGGACCGCGTATCAACTGCAACAACCTTATAATCATTACTCACATGATCATAACCAAACCCGAAATTTGTACTAGTACAAAATCGCTCTTTAGTTAAAGGAACTTCAAAAACTTTTCGAATTGAAGGATTCCACAATAAAATCCTTATTTGTCCACAATTAACACGATTATTATGTGTGTGTATTAGTAACACCCCATCAACATAACCTATTAAATGACAATCATCCGTGCTTAGGTACGCGATTTCTTCATATGTCCTAGGGACAACTACTTGTTCCTTCAACACCCCATCAACATAACCCACTTTCAAATAGCGGGTATCATCAAGGTCCGCGATTTTGGTAAATGTATCTACATGACGAACAACCATGTGTTTCTTCCAAGAATTGCATTCACGCGACAATACGAACTTGTTCTCAGTATTATTCTTGTAAGAATGAAGGTGTAATTGAGCCGTATTCGGATTATAGTCGATAATAGAGTTCCAAGCTTTACAAACACACCTAATGATCAAAAGAGTTTTTACTGAAATCCTAGCCAATACTTCTGCCAATATTTCTTGAGGGAAAGAGTGCAACATTATCTTGTTTTTTTTCTTTTCTTGGAGGAAGATTACAGAATTGATTGCAATTTTCTAGGATGATTAGGGAAGTACATACACACAAGTTTTAATGCGTACGGAATAGGATTATAGAATAAAGTTTTCCTTCGTCTTTCGGTTGCCCTCTAGCTAGATTTTAACACTTGGGTTCTTTAAGTAAGGAATTAGCTGACCAAAATAGCCTTATCTCCAAAGTATCTAGACTATGTACTCCGTACAATCATTCCAATAGTAACTTTTTTTTTTAGTTGATACGCTTATTTTTGCATTATTCACGTAATTTACTATAATCACTTTTAATAATATAAATTAAGGAGATAATACAATCATCTAGATTTTTAGGTAAGATACTCTGAAGAACATAGAAAAAACTAAAAGTATTCTTAAGGATCGATGAATCACTTAGTAAAAAAAAAATTAAAAAAAAAAAGACTTTTGGTTTGGAAGTTGGTCTAGTCCGTTTGGAGTTAGGTTATTTCGAAGTAAGAGGTCACTTGGCATATTCCAATCATTTTCAAATTTATTATCAACAAGTACATAGCTTTAACCAAGTACGGAATAACTTAGACTGAGATCCGTGTAAAATTAGTCACATGTTCAAATCTCTCATCCAATTTCGGGTTATTCAAGAACTCCTGGAGTCAATGAGTCTCGATATCTCATTCTCAGGGACTATGCACAATGACAATGTTGACGTAATTACGCAATTATACAACAGCCCGTTTTGTAAGGCCCTATTTTAAGAAGCCTTACCAAAAGAAAAAGGCCCAAATATAAAATATCGAACTCGGTGCGAATTCATGGTGCTGGTGTCTCCGCGCTTTCGCCAACCCAGCCACGCTTCAGAAGAATCAGAGGAAGAGAGAGAGCAGAAATTGATGCAATTTCATTCACTATTTGCAAATTAAAGATCAAATTAAAGGGTTTTTTTTAATAGAAATTTGGGGATTTTTGAGAGAGAAGAAATGGGTACCCCAGAACCCAACATCGACGATTTGTTCGAATCCAAGAAGAGAATCAGGAACCCTTTAGTCCCAATTGGTAAAATTTTCTATCTTTCAATCTCAATATTTTCGTTTGATTACCTTTGCTGATTATATTGTATCATTAAATTTCATTTCTTGAGTTTTATTTCCTTAATTTCTTGGGCGAATGATAACCTTGATTATGCAGTTGAAATTACTTGGTTTAATAAAATAATTGAAAATTTTGATATTTAGGTCTTTTGTGATTGGAATTCGTGCGTGTGAATGTTAATTTTGCTTTATTATGATGATATCGGAAGATATTTTGCAAATGGGGGTTTGAGATTGAGCTTTTAGGTCTTTAAATTAGGAATTAGGAAGAATGGCATTGAACAACATATTCTGTTAAGGTTTTATCCTTGGTTTTTGGTGGATGGTAATTGATTGTAGATGATTTTCGGAAGGGAATTCGATAATATAAGATCAAAATAATGGGATTGCTCATTTTCGGCTTAATACTTGGTCAATTGTTATTGAGAATCACCTAAGGATGATGGTGGAATTTGGTTTGGAGATCATTCATTATTGGGCCGGTTCGAGGTTTTGAATAATGAACTTGCTGAGGTTGGAGAAACTGATGGGAGTTTGATATTTGAATTGTTGGTATGTATATTTCATATGTTTATAATTTATGTAGTGGAATGGGGTATCATATGTCATAGGTTTATAGCTATATGAGGTTCGTTAGGTTTCTAATGGAAGAAAGGAAGGTGTGTAGTGTTTGGTTGTGACTTGTGAGGCTCATCTAGTGTTGTAGAATCATTTGGAGTATAGATAAAATCATTTTTCTGTCAACACTTGCCAATTTGCCATACATTCATTTGCGAAGTTTTATAAATGGCTTTCCTGATTTATGTTTGTTCTCTTTTTGACCTTTGATTTGCTCTTCTAGGAATTTCCTTTCTCATTAGGTTTATACAAGATTAGGTAGATGAATGGGTAAAAAAGGTTTGCTTAGAATATTAATCTGATCCGGAGTACAATTCTTTCATCATGTGATCTAGTATACTAGTCTCCTTGTGTGAAGTGGAAGATAACAGTGTGCCAAAGTGAATTGGAAAGAAAATCAGTTTTTATGATTGTATGGGAAATAGGCCATGCTGACATCAATTTGAATCTAGTTGCTCTTCTTTTGTGAGTTCACGACCATATATGCCACAAAGATGCATGGAAGAATGACTTGAAGATGAGAGTGTTAACTATCCTGAGAGGCTGAGACAAAACTGGTACACTGAACATTAGGTATGTACTGTAGTGTTCTATAAATACATGTAAACGATCTTAATTTCTAGCTTGACTAGTTGTTGGGTATAAAGAAGAGCAAGGAGAGGAGCATCATTTGCTGATGATCACGGAGTTGCACTCCAACAGTTCTTATGTCAAGTGTTTACTTGTTGAAACAATCCTGGCTGATCTATCTGTTTATTGTTTGGTTTTCACCCCCCCTTCCAACCCAGGGGTATAAAATTTGTATTTAATCTATTAATGGATTTGAATATTCACCTGTTTGGCTGTGAGACTAGACTACCAAAATTGCTTGTTGTATTGCATTGTCAATGCCCCTCTTTCAACTTATCTTTCTGATTTTACCTATATGTTATGCTCTACTAGTTCCTTGTGTACTTATCAGCTAATAGAAGAATCAAATATCGATAATGATTTACAACTTCTAATTCAAATGTCCATTACAAGTTTATAACAGTACATGCCTGCTAAAAATAATTTAAAATATTAATTACATAAAAATAAGATTTGCATTGGACCAATAGATTAATATGCAATCCTACGTGTTCAATTCTAACCTTAAAGTTGTAGAGGTTCTTTCTCCATTGGATTGGTGATTGAAATTGTGTTTAATAATCTCTTACTCCAAGGCTTCCAATTGGGAGGGTAGAGTCACTTGTGTTGGTCCTTTCTAATTCCTATTTGAAAAACTCATTATATAGTGACTTGAACGCTTCATAAATGGAGAGAGTATTACTTAGGATTGTATTTTGTGTTCCTTTTGGCTTGAATTCTTTTCTTCCCCTGAAACGATGGTAGATTATGGAGGTACAGTATTGTATGTTGGAGTTGTGTATAGATATTAATGTTTGCCTTAACTTTAAGTGACTTGATTCATGGTTGAATTTTCAGGTGCATTATTGACCGCTGGAGTTCTTACAGCTGGCTTAATAAGTTTTAGGCAAGGGAATTCACAATTGGGTCAGAAACTTATGAGAGCCCGTGTGGTAGTTCAAGGTGCAACTGTTGCTCTTATGGTCGGCACAGCTAGCTATTATGGCGAAAGCTTCCCCAAATTTCCAAAATTCCCCGGCCTTTGAGGTACATGACACTGCAGCATTCTGCCCTTGACATTTAAAGATACCTTGATTGGAATGATTTGGTGATACCAAGGACAGTCAATTATCAGGCCTAATTGCTGCTCTTCTATCTTCAAATACCTGAGTTGCTCTCAAGGAAAAGTACATGTGTGCAGCATTGCATCTTTTGAATTTTGATTGTAAGAGGACTAATAATAGTATTACTGATAGATTTTATCCCTGATTCCGGGAGTAAAAGTATGGTAGACACAGGTTGCTCAAGAGGCTTGTAATAAAATAGGGAGAAATATTTCTACTGATTGGGTAGCAAATTTTGACCCTTCATATCTTACAATTAATTAGTTTTTTATTTCTTTTTTTGTAATCTTTGTAGTGAAATGATTTTTCCCTGCTCACAATTCTCACATTCTGTCTTTCGTATGGAGTAAATATTTTTTTTTTGTGTGCGCGCGCATGCGCTTTGTGATTGTGCTATTGTTACATACTTACATGTAAGAAATTTTACCCGAGTATGAGAGCACATTTTCTTAATTTTTTGGAATATATTTTACTCCGTATCAAGAGGATATAACCTCCTCCCTATTATCAGTGGCGGACCCAGGAATTTCCGACTGGTGGGTTACAATCGATAATCAAGTATGTAAAAAAAAAAAAAAAAATTACCAAACAACCAAATAATAGTACTAAAAAATACATCCAAATATTCAAACAGTACAAAATACAACCAAATGTTCATATAATACTACAAAAGACAACTAAATAGTAATGCAAACTTATTACAATAGTTCTCGACGAGTTTTCATGTTTTGATATCGATTCATGATATCTTCCATGCTAACATTCAAAAACAAATCATTCTCCAAATAAGTAATTAAACAATCATTCAACATTTGATCTCCCATGCAATATTCCCCAGAAAAATTATTTGAATAAATATCCAACTAAATCAAGCAATTTCACATAATGACATAATCACATAAACATATTACACAAAACACAATTACACAAAACAGATTTCACATAAGTTGAAGAGACAAGTAATGCAAATTTGATCAAAAATTCACAAAAAAAAAAAAAAAAGAATCAATTGATGAAATTAGAAATCAACTTACTCATTCCCTTAGAAAACCAAGAGGTTGCCAACCTGGCCTTGGGCGAGACTACGTTTTCCTTTGATGCTCATTCCCTTTAGTGGACTCAAGCATTAATTATTTTGACACTTCTAAGCACTCGAATTTGTTATCCTTGCCGGGAACTCCAGCATAATAGCCTTATTTGCACATTCATCATTGCAATCTTGTTTTGTGTTGTGTTTACAGCCAACTCCAACACTTCAGTGATTGACAGGATATAGAGTAAAGTTAGCAAAAATTCAAAATCGGCTACAATATTAGAGCTCAATTTAGACACTAAATTAGGCCAAATTTTTAGGTTACAAAGAAAATAAAAAAATACAAGCAAAAAGTCATATTAAACAAAAAAAAAATCCAACAAGAAAGTATGAGAATAAACCTAGAATGAAATAAATGGCCAAAGAAATTAGCGAAGCAGAACAAGATAGATTAGAAATGAACACAAATTTCAACCGAAATTATTATAATAGGTGAGAAGAAAAACTTTCAATCAGGGTAGAATGAATTTCTATCAGATGCTAGCACCATTAGGATGGTTGAAAGGCAAAAGCAAAGCAGTCCAATTGATTTGATATTCAATAATAAAAAATAAAAAAAAATAAATAAACAAATAGAGCAAAAAAAGAAATTGAAGTGAAAATCAGAAACTACTTCGATGGAGGAGATAAAGCACAGTAGGCGCTTCAATGGAGAACTAGCGAGTAGCGATTTCGAAATGCGATTATGCGACTATGCGAGAAGCCACGAAGAGGACGGAGTCCACGACCACCGACGGACCAACCACCAGGCGAAGAGAACGGTGGCTGCCTGGCTGGGACGAAGCGAAGAGGCGAACTGAAGAATGGAGATGAGGCGAAGTCGCGAAGAGAAGAAGGCTAGGGTTTGATTGTTTGAAGAAGACAGAAACTCGGGATTTCGAAAGCAAATGTCAGTTTTTTTTTTTTTTTCAAAAAATAACTTAAAATTTTTTTTTGGGCCTGGTGAGTCACTTGACCCACCAGGTCTAAGCCCAAGTCCGCCACTGCCTATTATTTCTACAAAGTCAATCAAATCTGACACCTATATAAAGCCATGACCCCAGTATAAGCTCTTCCATCTGAAGAATATAAGACTGTTCTGGCCCATTACTTTTAATTAATTTTGTTGATTATCAAATTTATCCCATTAAAACTTTTATTAATAAAAAAAAATACTTTTATCAGTATATTTTAAGACAAATTAACTACATAATGGGTACTTTTCTTTGAATTTCACTTATCTTAGTAACAGAGTTACACTTATACTCCGTATTATGAAGTATATTATAGAGTACTAATACAATAGGATAAGGAGAACAGAGCCGATTTACGAAGTACTTCGAATATTTTAATCAGTTAAACATAAAATAGCAGAATAGGCAAGAATGTAATGATCACACGTTAGTAATTTAGTATGTCACCACGGGGCACTTTCTTGTGTAGTAGAATTTGTCAAAGATATTTCTCTCATTTTGTCTGAATAACATTTCTTCATTACTTTTCTCTCTAACTGATTGTGCAATCTTCTGGGTTTGGGTAAGTTCTTCTACATTTTCTTCTATCTCATTTCTTACAACGTAATATTTATCTTCATTTTACCCTTTCAATTTTGTCTCTTCATATGTTTTTTTTTTTCTTTTTTGCATTGATTTGATTTCGTTATTACAGTTGATTTTAAAATCAAAATGATCATGATAATATCAGAATTAGGGAAGATAATCAATTTGAGAAGCGGTTGTTTTGTGAATATTTTCTGGGTTATTCCATTGTTAGTCAATGATCATCTTATTATAATTGCAAGTTTAGTGATGTAGACGTGATTCGGTCCCATGAATTTATAGTTTTTTTTAATTTATTGCTGTTATTTTTTCTGGGTTTCCATTTTGAGGATGCAAGAAGCTGACTAAGAAATTCGAAAAGGATATACAGTAGTTATAAATCTTGAGAGGGAACATTTAGTTATGAAGATTAACCAGAATTTCCAGTTATTTGAAGAAGTTGCAGAATCTTGAATGGAAACAGTTCATCTTATAGCAGTAATGCATCACAATGCTGTGGCATATTAGAAAGGACTTTTTAAAACTCGGTCAATGAATCAATTTCTTAGAAATTACAACCTATACTGAATTACTGATATACAAATACACTTGGTGGAAAAAATCAGTATTGTGGCAGACCACAATTCCGTTCATCACTTATTAGCATCTATGTTATTCGAACTCTTCCCCACGTTCCCTACTGAATCCTCGACACTCTGACATGGGCATAACACTTGGACACATACTCTTGCTAGACACAAGTACCCGAATCTAAGTAATATAGATTTGCACTAACGAGGGGGTTGTGGACTTGTGGTAACAGATGAAATGAAGATTTGCGTGACATACATTAATCGTCGTTTCAATTTTTTCCATCATCGGTGCATACAATGCTGAAGTAGGCTAGGTAGCTTATATGAGGCAGCGCTGGAATATGTTGAAGTTATTTACCTTTTCACATGGTCCTAGATGGTATTGTGAATAGAATGAACATAGTTGGGTGAACAAAGAATGTTTAGACATTTCCAATTCCAATTGCTTCCAGCAATACTACACTGCTTATCTTATGAAGCTTCTCACGGAACACTGAGGCAGTACCTTTGTAATTCAGAATGTAGTTATAGTTGGGTTCATTAAAGATAAATCGGGGCCATTCAGCCCATTGAATGCTCTGCCTCAGGCTATTGTTATCATACCTTTTTTGGGTGGAAATTATTCAAATTTTACTGTGATGAGTTACCCCCTCTATGATCTGCCTACATATTCTCTGATTATTCAGGTGGCAGATAGCTAATATTTTTTTTTGTGATAACAAGTTACATTGTCAATTCTTGTATCATGTTGCTCTTTTGATGTGATGTTTGGCTTGCATGCTGAAGCTGTTATGTTTCTATATTATGGGATTGAAATGTTCAATTCTTCATAAATTATTGTCTGCTGTGTACTTGTTTGTTGGAGCAATCAGTGATTAACACTGTATATATGAAGTAAGATTACCTTCTGCACCCTAGTTTTTGTCTGTTGATAAACAAGTAGGCATTTCTTCTCTGGAAAATTGTTTATGCTGATACTGGAGTTATATGTCACGATCCGTCTGTTGAGTATTCTTTATTTGTTTGGTATATTTTGTAAAGCCTCTTTTATTTATTTTTTTTTTTTATTTTTTTTTTTTGGTAGGTTCAAGCGTTGTGCCAAGATTTTATCATGTCTTCACCAAGCAAGAGACTAGAGTCGGATTTTATGAGAATGTAAAGTTCCTTAGTACATTTATCTTGGCTGTATTCATTGGCTTAGCTTCCTCATTTATCTTGTTTGTATTCATTGGCTTCCTCTCTTGTAATCAAACTATGTTATTTTTGCACAATAATTGGTTTTACGTCAACAGCTATGACTTGTAATCCTTTGTTGGGTCATAATGATATGATGTTTATAGTCAGTTGAGGTCCTCATGCATCTTTGTTTTGTAAAATGCATTGTTTAGTTGAGTAATTTGATCATTCAACTATAAAGTCCGGCTAAGATTGATGCTGCAATTTTTCAATAGATTTTCATCTTCTAATCAGGGCACGTTGGACCCCTCGTTGAGATTTTCTTTCAGAGTGACATTTCATTTTGATTTCTGCCAGAATGTAGTTTTGATTGTGTACTTTCTTCTCAGGTTAATGAGTGATTTCACTGTGGAGACGATAAATGATGCAGTCAATGAATTCAATGTGGTGTTTCATGGTCCAAAAGAAAGTATGTTAATTTACATCTGTCTCTTAATTCTGCTTGCATTTCTCCCTCCAGGGAATCGGCCTGTGTTATTTTTTTGCTCTGTCAAATACAATGATAGTTGCATGTGTTATCCCATGTTCTAAAGGCAAGTGAGAGGCAGATAATATTCTTCCCAAGCTTGGGTGATCTGACTATTTATTCTTCTCAAGCTAAGTACACATGCGATTGTGGTTGCAGGTCCTTATGATGGCGGGGTGTGGAAAATCCATGTTAAGTTTCCGGATTCTTATCCTTTCAAGCCTCCTTCAATTAGATTCTTGAACAAAATCTTTCATCCAAATATTGATGAGCAGTGAGTGTATCAGTGTCCACTATCTATCTAGAGCATATATATAGTCACTCTAATCAAGAACTTTACTGACCAGACAATATACATTTTCTGAAACTTCATGTTGATAAGTATTAGGTGACTCGTACTTCGTTGCTTTGTCCGCCCGATCGGGCGGACATTACCCGGTCTGACCGGGCGGAAAAAGAAGAGGTGCCTGGCAAATTCGTTGAAGAAGCTGCTCTCGCGCGCCCGACCGGGCGAGCTTTCGCCCGACCGGGCGAGCCTTCGCCCGATCGGGCGGACATTGCCCGATCGGGCCGGGCGGAAGGGGTTTTTTGGAGTACTTCGGTTGTTGGAAAAGACGTGTTCTCGCGCCCGATCGGGCGGGCCTTCGCCCGACCGGGCGATCTGGGTTTTTTCAGCGATTACGAATTTAATATTTATCATATTGTGATATTGTAACCTAAGTATATCTTAATTAGGAATCACTACTATATAAACTTCCTATTATCATTATTAGGGAAACGGAGAGAGAAACACAAGAGAGAGAATACTTTGAGTGATTAAGTTCTTCATTGTAATCTTTGTAATCTTTGCCAGTTTATAGTGAAATCATTCGATCTCGGTGCCCGTGGACGTAGCTATCACATCGATAGTGAACCACGTAAATTCTTGGTGTTGTTCTTATTGTTTGCATTGAATTTCTTTATTGTTTTCTTGTTTGTTTACGACCTTTGCTTCCGCTGTCGCACAACAATTGGTATCAGAGCCAGGTTCAATCCTTGGAGAGTTTCTTGAAGATAACAATGGCAGGAGATTCAACAATAAGAATTGAGAAGTTTACCGGGAAAAATAGTTTCGGGCTATGGCAAATTAAGATGAAGGCTCTGTTAAAACAACAGCAGATATGGCGTCCGTTGGCTCCAAAGAGTACTACTTCGGAGTCAGGAGACGGACCGACTGACTCGCAGTTAGAAGTTATGGAAGAGAAGGCACACTCTACCATATTACTTAGTCTTGATGATCAAATCATCACGGAGGTGGCTGATCAGGAAACGGCGGCTGGATTGTGGCTGAAGCTGGAGTCATTGTATATGACTAAGTCGTTGACCAACAAATTATTACTGAAACAGCGGTTGTTTAGCCTCCGGATGCAGTCAGGTACTTCCTTACGGGAACATCTAGAAAAACTTAACTCTATTTTGCTTGATTTACGTAATTTAGATGTTAAAATTGATGATGAGGATGCTGCGTTGATTTTACTTGTATCTCTACCGTCTAGCTTTGAGAATTTTGTAGAGTCTTTTGTTGTTGGTAAGGATTCTATAACCTTAGAAGAAGTGAAGGCAGCACTTCATACTAGGGAACTCAGAATGAAAGCTACGAGTGATAATGGGGATAATGGTAGTGGGTTGTTTGTTAAGTCCGGAAAGTCTAAAAAGAATAAGGGGTTTAACAAGGGGAACAATGCTGGGTCGGGTGCTGGAAACGGCAAGGATGGATCTAGTAAAACTACTACTAAAACATGTTATTACTGTAAAGAACCGGGTCACTTTAGGAATAATTGTCCGGTGAGGAAAAACAAGTCCCAGGCTGCTGTAGTTGAAGAGAAACCGAATGAGAGCTATAATTCAGAGGAAGATTTAGCATTAGTCAGTTCTGCTAGGTCTGATGATTTATCTGATAACTGGGTTCTAGATTCGGGGTGTTCGTTCCATATGTGTCCACGTCGAGATTGGTTTGATACATATGAACCTCGCAATGGGGGCATGGTTATAGTCGGTAACAATGCTCCATGTAAGGTCACAGGTATTGGTTCCATGAGGTTGAGGACTGTTGATGGGCGGAGGTTAACTTTGACTAATGTACGGCATGTTCCTGCTTTAGGAAAGAATCTGATTTCATTGGGTACCCTGGATGACTTGGGGTACAATGGTGTGTTTTCAGATGGGGAGTTGTGTATTTTCAGAGGTTCTGAGTTGGTACTTAAGGGTATCAAAAGGAACACCCTCTATGTTTTTGAGGGTGTTACACTGCCTAGTTCTGCGGTTTGCGCATCTGTATCTCACCAGGAGATGACTAAGATTTGGCACATGAGGCTTGGTCATATGGGGGAGAAGGGGATGCAGCTATTGTCCAAGAGGGGTCTTCTATCCGGGGTCAAGGTTGCCAACCTTGAATTTTGTGAGCATTGTGTGTTTGGTAAGAAACACAGGTCAAAGTTCAGCAAGGGTGCTCACATTACTGGTGCAGTGCTCGATTACATCCATTCAGATTGCTGGGGTCCATCTAGAGTTGAAGGTATGGGAGGTTACCACTATTTTGTGTCATTTGTTGACGACAAGTCCCGATACACATGGCTTAGGTTGCTTAAGTCAAAGGATGAGGCCTTCAAAGTTTTCAAGCAATGGAAAGCTTTGGTGGAAAATCGACAAGGAAGGAAGATCAAGAAGCTACGAACGGACAATGGGCTAGAGTTTTGCAAAGACGAGTTTAATCAGTTCTGTGCAGATGAGGGTATAGGTCGGCATCATACTGTCAGGAAGACACCACAGCAGAACGGTGTAGCAGAACGGGTTAATCAGACACTGCTAGAGAGAGTCCGATGCATGCTCTCTAATGCAGGGCTTGGGAGGAGGTACTGGAGTGAAGCTGTGTTAACAGCTTGTTATGTCATTAATAGGGGTCCTCATTCTGGAATTGATTCCAAAATTCCGTTTGAGATCTGGAGTGGTAAGTTGCCTAATTTTTCGAATTTGAAGATTTTTGGTTGTGTTGCTTATTATCATGTTATTGAGGGTAAGCTGGATCCACGAGCCAAGAAGGGGTGTTTTGTTGGGTACGGGGATGGTGTGAAGGGGTTTAGAATTTTTTCACCTTCGGAGGGTCGGGTCATTCTTAGTAGGGATGTTACTTTCGATGAAAACACCATGTATTCAATTAAAAATGCAGAGATTTCAGATTTGAGAAGGGAAGGAGACAATTTATTACAGACAGATGGGGTACTTGAGGTACATCAGTCTACCATTGCTGATTTACCTCGGGTACAATATATTGATGATGATGCTGATGTTCCAGTGCCGGGTACTCCTGAACCTGAGATTACTCCTACTCATTCTAACTCTGGGGATGAGGTGGAGCAATCTAATCAGGGGTCATCTAGTCAACCTGACACCATTCTTGAGATGCCTAAACGAGTTATCAAGAAGCCTGTTAGATTGATTGAAGAGATGGAGGGAAGAAATTGCTGTGTTGATGCGATGACAGGTTATGCATTGAGTGTAGCTGATGATGTAGAGTCATTTGAACCTGCCACATATAAACAAGCAATTAGTTGTAGTGAGTCTGCGCAATGGCTTGCCGCAATGGGTGAAGAGATGCAGTCTCTTTACAAGAACAGAGTGTGGGAACTGGTAAAAGTACCGGAAGGGAGGAAGCTTGTGGGTTGTAAATGGATTTACAAGAAGAAAGAAGGGTTGTCGGAAACTGAGCAAATACGTTTTAAGGCTAGGCTAGTTGCTAAGGGGTTCAGTCAGGTAGAAGGGGTTGATTTTGTTGAGATATTCTCACCTGTGGTTCGACATACTTCTATCCGTGTGTTATTGTCAATTGTAGCACATTTTGATCTTGAGCTGGAGCAGTTGGATGTTAAAACGGCTTTCCTTCATGGCGATTTGGAGGAGGAGATTCTGATGAAGCAGCCCGAAGGATTCGAAGTTCCTGGAAAGGAACACTATGCCTGCAGATTGCTAAAGTCATTGTATGGACTTAAGCAATCCCCCCGACAGTGGTACAAAAGGTTTGATTCTTTTATGGTTTCACAAGGTTTTGACAGGAATTCATATGATTGCTGTGTGTATCATAGTAAGCTGGATAATGGTTCCATGATTTATCTTTTGTTATATGTTGATGACATGTTGGTTGCCACAAAGAATAAATCTGATATTGCTAGATTAAAGGAGATGCTTAACTCGGAGTTTGACATGAAAGACTTGGGTGCAGCTAGGAAGATTTTGGGTATGGAGATCTACAGGGATCGGGCTAGAGGTAAGCTTTTCTTGACTCAGAAAAGCTACATTGAAAAGATTTTGTCTCGTTTTGGGATGGAAAAATCGAAGCCTATAAGTACGCCAACTACTGTTAGTTGTAAGTTGTCTTTGTCTATGTCACCTCAATCAGAGGAGGAGTTGTCTTATATGTCTAGAGTTCCATATGCAAATGCGGTTGGTTGTTTGATGTATGCTATGGTCTGTACTAGGCCGGATATTGCGCATGCCGTTAGTGTTGTAAGCAGGTTTATGGCTCGACCTGGGAGGGAACACTGGCAAGGGGTGAAAAGGATTTTTCGCTACCTGAGAGGGACAGCTGATATTGGTCTTGTGTACGGGAATGATAAGGAATGCTTGGTCACTGGGTACAGTGATTCTGATTATGCAGCTGATGTGGATACCAGGAGGTCTGTGACTGGTTATGTGTTCACTTTGGGTGGTTCTGTGGTTAGTTGGAAGTCTACATTGCAGTCATCAGTTACGTTGTCAACTACTGAAGCTGAGTATATGGCTTTAACTTCTGCAGCTAAGGAGTCTATTTGGCTCAAAGGCCTAGTAGGTGAACTGGGTATTGCACAGGATTTTGCTACAGTGTATTGTGATAGTCTAAGTGCGATTTGCTTAGCTAAAGATCAAGTACACCATGATCGGACGAAGCACATTGATGTCAGGTATCATTTCTTACGTACTGACAAGAGGATTAAGGTGAAGAAGATTGGGACTGCTGACAACCCGGCTGATTTCTTCACTAAGCCTGTTCCGTTTAGCAAGTTTAAACATTGCTTAGACTTGTTAAATATTGATTACTACGTGATGTAGTAGGCCCTGAGGGGCGAAGTTGGGGAGCTCCTGGTGTAGGTGTGTTGGCCTTAAGGTGGAGCTTGCCCGGGGCTTGTGATGCAGGTGGAGCATTATGAGTTGTTATACTTGGAGACGAGTATGTGATGGGTCTTGGTTGAAGACTTATCGGGATGTATGGCTTATGCATGAGTCTTGCATCGGGTTTGGCTTGAGATGTTTTTCACTATGTCTTGATGGGGTCGTTTGCTGACTACGAGTTCTCGTCAAGGTGGAGATTGTTGATAAGTATTAGGTGACTCGTACTTCGTTGCTTTGTCCGCCCGATCGGGCGGACATTACCCGGTCTGACCGGGCGGAAAAAGAAGAGGTGCCTGGCAAATTCGTTGAAGAAGCTGCTCTCGCGCGCCCGACCGGGCGAGCTTTCGCCCGACCGGGCGAGCTTTCGCCCGACCGGGCGAGCCTTCGCCCGATCGGGCGGACATTGCCCGATCGGGCCGGGCGGAAGGGGTTTTTTGGAGTACTTCGGTTGTTGGAAAAGACGTGTTCTCGCGCCCGATCGGGCGGGCCTTCGCCCGACCGGGCGATCTGGGTTTTTTCAGCGATTACGAATTTAATATTTATCATATTGTGATATTGTAACCTAAGTATATCTTAATTAGGAATCACTACTATATAAACTTCCTATTATCATTATTAGGGAAACGGAGAGAGAAACACAAGAGAGAGAATACTTTGAGTGATTAAGTTCTTCATTGTAATCTTTGTAATCTTTGCCAGTTTATAGTGAAATCATTCGATCTCGGTGCCCGTGGACGTAGCTATCACATCGATAGTGAACCACGTAAATTCTTGGTGTTGTTCTTATTGTTTGCATTGAATTTCTTTATTGTTTTCTTGTTTGTTTACGACCTTTGCTTCCGCTGTCGCACAACACTTCAGCTCTGGCTCTGTTTGCTTGAATGTAATCAACCAATCATGGAGTCCTATGTTTGGTAATCTTCTTTTATTGATGATCTTTGGATTTTGTGTCAAATTAATTAATTGTTTTTTTTAACCCTGCTTTCTCTATCTCCTTCAAGCTGACATATCTCTTAGCTGAAAAAAAAAACTTTACTTTTTAAGGGATTCTTAATCTAGCTATGTTTTTTTTCCATCATAAGTTGATTGATTGGTGCTGTTTCTTCTGTAGATCTTGTAAATGTGTTTGAAATGTTTCTTCCCCAGCTTCTGCTCTACCCAAATCCTTCACATCCCCTTAATTCTGAAGCTGGTTACCTAATGATGAGGGACAAAAAGCGATATGAACAGAAAGTTAAAGGTATGATTTTGTGCATTCTAGATTTCAGTATTTCACTCTTTTTTTTTTTCTGTGCATATCTAGAGAGCCGTACTATCTCAACAACAGCATGACCTGTTGGTAGTTTGTTACACTTCTATTGATCTGTGTATCCCCCCCCCCCCTCCTCCCCCAGTGCCGGTTCTATTGAATACTCTGGACCTAATAAGCTTTGTGCCTTTTGTGAGTGCACCAAACAACTAGTTAAAAAAGGTAGTGGGAGAGAGAGCTGGGAAAAGGAACGCTATTGTACAAGCTTTGGCTTCTGTCGAACATGCTTTGAGAGATTATTTATATCACTCTGTATTTTAGTTATTTCTAGATGTGAACAGTCAGAGCTATTTAGACAAAAGTATATTTGCAAAAAGTCATGCTTCTGGACGAGATTTTGCAGTATGAGTAATTTTAGCAAGACCAGGTTTAACCTTATCAAAGCAATCACCAAGGTAGGCCATGCATGGTAAGTATGAAGTATCTCCGGTTTTGAAATCTATGGCTAGCATTTTTTGAATTACGGACTGTTATAAAAAGAACGTTGGAAGTTTCATGTCCTGCAATGCCTGGCTTCTGGTTGTATGAATCTATCTATGTCAATTGGTACATGCTCATAGTAAAAAAAACTGTGCTACTTTTGTCTACAAAAACATGTGCAACTATTTTTCAGTAATCCATTGTAGAAGCTTTGTGCAGCTATTTTTCAGTAATCCCAAATAAGCTAACATAGTCTCGAAGACATTAATTGTGCTTACACACTTGCAAACTTGCAATATATTTTGGTAATCATAACTTGTTATCATTTGTACAGAATACTGCGAACAATATGCCAAGAAGGAGAATATTTTGGGCTCTTCTGTTGAAGATGGAAGTGGTAGTGAGGAAGTCAGTGAGGATGAAGATTCATCAAGTGACAATGAAGCAGCAGGCACAGGTGAGGGGCATGCAGAACCATGAAAGGTGATGATACATCAGACTGTCTTTTGCCTCATCTTACTTGGTTAGTACCACAATGAAATAAGTCTACTTTCCGTTTATGAAGCATTTGCCTATTTGACTTGAGATCAGTTTCATTCCTCTGTAAGTGATGCTGTTTCATGCATTCTGCAGAAATCTCGAAAGCAATTGGCTGATTTCTGATTCTCATGAAGAGGAGATGAGAAATAAAATGTGTATAATGTCAAATACTTCCCTTTTTTTTTGGCAAATTTGTATGAGCTATCCTCATGCTCTCTTTTTTATGATCAATTGATTGCTTCTTGTACAACAATGGTTGAATTTGCTTGCCTTGGTTTTTAATATTTTTGTGGAAAAACCTCAACCTGATTAGACATTAGGCAGGAAGTGCTTTGTAAATATCAGACTCTTTTATTTATTTGATTGATAAATTTCAGTTGTAATTAATTGTACATAACTATCTTCAGATCATCATTTATACTTATCATTGGCCTGTTGTTGCAATGCAAATTAGAGCTTTCCGTAGATATGGGGCTGAATCAATAATAATGTTTTCATACTTGTAGTTGATTTTAAGCTATAATAAAATTGAAATTGAAGTTTGTAAAGATTGAAACCTTGACTCTAGTTTTGTTTCAACTTTCAAGTGTAAGAATTGAGTTATATAACTCTAAGCTTGGAGGCATGAATAATGCTTCATAAAGTTTCATTTTTCATAATCAAGATAAGCATTATTATGCATCAAAATGCAATTGATACTACTTCGTATAATGAAGTGAAACATATACATGTACTTGTAAATTCAAGTCTTTCACACTTCAAAGTGGTGGAAATACATAATGGTTTCATCATCCCTTATAAAAGGGTTGATTCCATCAATTATGTACCAATTGTATTACAAGTATCCAATTCAAAAACCTTAATAACCTTAATGTTGATATGTTTAATTCATTGAATAATACATATCCAAACAAACTCAATCCAACTTGAAAATAAATCTAATATGTTTTGGCTCGACTTGACTTAACTCAAACTCAATTCAAACGACCTGTTTGCCACTTCTTCTATTAACACTGGAACCAAAACGAGTTAATCCCTAATACGTTATTATAAATCGACATATAATAAGTACAAAGACATTTAAGATCTAGAGGAAGAAATTCCCACTCAATATGGAGAAAAAAAACTTAACAATGAGGAAATGTACCACATTTTTATAATGCAAAAGCTAATGAGCGCCCCCCGGCGTTAGATAAGAGAATTAAAAGTGGAAATATTAGAATAAAGCTAATATTAATTACACCGAACAACGCGTGATTTTGTCATGTTGTTCTAACTTAATACTATTTTAACCAATATAATTATTCCTTATCTAGTGCCCCGGAACGCTTGTTAGTAAGATACTTTTTATAGGGCCCAAAATATACGTTGCTGAACCTACTTATCACCACGTGCACCTTCAATATGTCGACATTAACTTTATAAATCCAATCAACCCTCTTTTTATTTGTTTCCGCTTTTCTTTCTTTCTTCTCTATTTTCTCTCTCTTTCCCAATTTTCTTTTCTATATTAACATCAAATTTTGCACCTTTGATAATTTGAGCCTACATCATCCCTTTGACATTCTGGGTGTTCTTCAATTTCCAATCATCTTATTTGGTTCGTCTTTTATACCCTTTAATTTTGATGCAATTCCTGTTTATAGCGATTAATCTAACAATCTTGTGATGTTTATGAATTACGATCTTTATTTGGGGTTATTTAATTGTTGGGGTTTTTTTTTTTTTTTTTACTGGTTGTTTTTTAATTGCTTGTAATTAGAATGAATTTGGATTTTGATGATAATTGGGTATTTGATTAACCGCATTTTGCATCATTTATGTTGTTTTTTTTTTGTTTTTTTTTTTTTGGCCTTTTGGGTGATTGACTTTGTACTGTGCTGGCTTTTACAGGAGAAGACTGATAGCAGGAATAGTAATTTTAAAATTATATAGTGCATTTGCAATAGGTATGTGGTATGTCATTGTGGTAAATTTGATGTAACAAGCAGTTTTACCGAGTAGGGTATTTGAATATAGTAGTTAGTACAATCTAATTTTGGTAAGGTTAATGTTTGGGAGAGCTTTGATTGTTTTCGGAATGATTTTGCGTGAGGGAATGTGATTGTTGATTGATGTTTTCATCAACTTCACTCCAGGTGGTGTATAGATGAACTGTGATCACTTTCAGAATGATATAGGTTTTTAAAGATAAATTGCTTTCGCAGGGGAGTGTGAATTTCAATCAATATTGTCATCAACACTATGATCAGCACTTGGTTTCAGCTTTAATTATATTCCTTTCATTGTGTAATGTGGAAGAACTTCCTAGGTTTCAATTCCTATATTGGTTTCATCTTGAAGTACTGCTAATGAGTAGCATTGTTTTGGAGGATTTTGGTTAAGAATGTTACATTCACAATCATCAGGCTAAGGGAGTGAGTTTCTTGAATGAGAGATGAATCCTAAGTGATAATTTATAGGTGCTTCTATGCCACTTAGCTTCAAAGGTTAAAAGGGGGGTATTTTGACTGTTGACGATTTGAAGATAATTAAATTTTGAGTTTCCATGGCAACCCTCAAGTGATACTGTCCAGTGTCCACTGTTGTCCTCCATGAAGTCTTTGGTGTTGTAGCAATTTTATTGTTTTGAATTGTTACATGGTGGTGTAAGTATAGAAAACTTCATGTGTGTGAAGTATGAACTCTGAGGAATGTTTTATCTAGACTGGAATGATGAATTGTTAGGACGTAGGAATGCATTAATCACTTTATACACAAGTAGTTTTTGAATTGATAGATATATTAGTAGTCATATTTTCAGATTTTTATATTTGTATGCTAAACACTTCCTTTCCCATCCTTATCCGATGGTATAGACTCTCTATGTTTGTTGGAACTGTATCATTTTCCATTTTTTGCGAGGGCCATGTCATCATTTAGATTTTTATGGTGCAAAGTATATGGTGACCAAATGTTTATAATTACTCTCAGGTGTGAATTAAATGCTCAGAACTTGTTTATTTCCCTAAATTTCGTCCAATAAGGCATGCTAATTGAATAATCATGATAAAGCTGTTTTTTTTTTCCCTAGAGTAGAAGTTGGTCAGGCATTTGCAGTGCTAAAAACATAAGAAAAATAATTGGCTCAAGAACTTTTTTGGTCATGAACAACCTTTTAGTTGCTTATACAAGGTTTACATCATACTCAATATTGCTGGCCTCTCTACTGCTGCTTAGGAATACAGGGTAAGGCTGTATACCTTTAGTTGATTGGAATATAGAGAGATGGTTAAGACTTGGGGTTACCGAGGATGATCCAGTATCCATCTGCTCTTCATTTTTCTTAAGGGAGATGGATGTGACATAGTGGCACATTCGTCTTTGTCTAACTAGCCAAATAAGAAATGCTATCTAATTATGGTTTTCCACTGTCAATACCTTTAATGTAAGAGATTTATTGAATTCTTTGTTTCCTATAGCATTCTGTCATGGTTTGCTATACCCTCTGTTTTTTTTTTCCTGCCATTTTCTTATGAATATGCAGAACTTGAGCGACTTCACTCATTGGAAATTCTGAGTTCTATTTTCGAGTTCGTGAAATTTTCCATCTATTTAATAAGGAAACTGTCATCATCTTTTGTGGTAGTGTTAGGCAACTAGATTAATACCATGTTATAGAGACTTGTTTTAGTGGGATCAATGAACAGTAAATGTGACAATAATTTATGTGGTGGCTGTGTATGTCTGTAGCAATTTTGGCAAGGGAAGAATGGTGTTTGGTCATAGACCATGAATAGGTAAAATTCATGATCAAACCACCCTAGGGTGAGACCAGCTGGTGTGACCAACTTTGCTTGTACATTTACCACCTTAAATTGTCTATTTCCATGCTGTCATTTTCTATGACTTTCGTTTTCCTTTTGTATTGAAAGAAGCAGTGACATATAATATCATACTCCGAATTACATTATCTTCACAACTTTGACACATGTACAACTTCTATACTTCTAGCACTTCTATACTTCTATAGCCTTTCTGCTGGTTATTGAATATGCTGCCTTTTTGGCTCAGGGTTTTCTTTATCTTTCCTTGGCTGTTTTTATTAGGGATATCCATCCTTTAAACAATTTCGGGTAATCTAGCTAATAGTTTTTGATACATACAAATAAACAAGAAAAACTCTAGCTTGCTTTGTCGCTAATTCTAGACAATGTATTGTCATGTATACTGCTTCTTAATTTTCTTTTTCTGCCATATTCTGCTCAGAGTCTCAATTTGGTTCAAGCTAAACTCAATTGGTTACAATGTCTTCACCAAGTAAGAGAAGAGAGATGGATGTTATGAAGCTGTAAGCTCCTCACTGTCTTAAATGTTTCATTTTTCTTTTATATACTGAGCCATGTATATGTTTGGTTTTTGTTTGGCCTTCCACCTGTCTTTGCTTCAAGTATCAACACATAAAATTGAGTTGAATTAAGAGTTCATCTGACATAGTTCTGGAGTCCTGAGTAGTAGCATTGCCTCTTTTTTATTCGTCAGCTCTTAGTATCTGCATTATTTGTAGCTCAATTATATTGCTTCTCCTACTGGTTTTGCTATATATTACCACATAAAATCCATTATTTCTCTAAATCTATAAGAGGCTCCCTGCTGGTGGTTTAGGGGTGTTTAGTTGGCAGCAGGCTTATTTATGTAATCTAAAAGAGTCTTTAATTGTCATAATATCCTGACCTCTAAAAGTGCTCTGACCAGTTTGCAGTACCATTGTTTAAGTTTTTGCCATGGACTCTTTATTCATAATGTTTTTCTCTTTTTTATCTAATGAACCTTACAACTGTATTCAGGATGATGAGTGATTATTCAGTGGAGACGATAAATGATGGGCTTAATGAGTTCAATGTCATGTTCAATGGTCCAAAAGATAGTATGTTGAAGCTGCTTATCACCTATTTATTTCTGTGCAGTTTATACTATCCTTCCTTCCCTTTGTCTCTATCTATATTGTTTCTTTTTATATTCCATGGTCACAAGAAAATGTCAGGTTGGATGTGTGTGCAAGTTGTCTGATACCTTCATTTTAAGGTCTAGGTTAGCTGTTCATGATTTTTATTATTTTTTTAAATCTATGGTTGCTGTGGTGACTATAGGTCTCTATGAAGGCGGGGTGTGGAAAGTCCATGTTGAGCTTCCAGATGGCTATCCTTATAAGTCCCCTTCCATTGGGTTCATAAACAAAATATTCCACCCAAATGTTGATGAACTGTGAGTTTACTCCTATATTCCTAGAGCATGTGGAAAGGTATTCCCTGATTGCTATTGATTTGAGTGAATGCGTATTAGTTATGTCTTAAATGAATTGTAAAATCTTCAGGTCTGGCTCGGTGTGCTTGGATGTTATCAACCAATCGTGGAGTCCTATGTTTGGTAATTATCACTTTCCTAGTTACATTTATTTTAAGGCCCTGATTGCTTTCAACTTTTGTTTTTGTGATTGTTTTTTATTCGACTTCAAAATATGAATGGCTCTTGTTGTTATTGGTTTGGACGTTTGGTGCAGATTTGTTAAATGTGTTTGAAGTCTTTCTTCCACAACTGCTGTTGTATCCTAATGCTTCTGATCCTCTTAATGGTGATGCTGCTTCGCTGATGATGAAGGATCGTGAACAGTATGAACTGAAGGTCAAAGGTAATAACTTTCCTACTCCACATTTTATCTTTCTGTTTTTAACTCGTGAAAATCCACCTTTTAATCATTATATCCAGACATCAGTTATTTTCAACATTTTTGCCTGTTTGTGTATGCTGATTCTCAGTGGAGTCTTAGTCATTGGTGAAAATCTACCAGCTGACTTGACTATAGTACAAAATAATATCTTTCAGTTTTAGCTTCTTGTTTCAAATGAGAGTTATTGGAGTAGAGAAAAAAAGGAGAGAGAGTAAAGGATTGAGTGGTCTTATCAAGTGATCTATGAATTTGAGCGACACCCCCTCCCCCCCCCCCCCCCAAAAAAAAAAAAAAAAAAAAAAAAAAAAAAAAAAAAAAAAGAACAGGAAAACACACACCTAGCCATCTGGATTATTAAAAAACACACTCAGGAAATCAATCTTGTTTCAATTCTTCTCCGCAAGATATCTTTTGATCCTCTAGTAGAAAAGGTTTATATTTCTCCAAAATGGAAGTGGGGAACTGGGACTGTAATACCAACAACAAAGATCTTGTATGGGGAGAGTTACAAATAATGTTAGGGAATTGGATTTGTAGAGCATGTAGCACATGATAGAAGTAAATTGAGAAAGAGGATTTTTGTGCACGGCCACTGGAGGGTATATCTCAGTCTATGCAGCCGTCACATCCTGTTGGGATTAAGGTCGTGGTGTTGTATTGGTTTAGTCTAGGACCTGTTATGTTATTAAAGAATGTAAGATTCACTTAGCAGTTCATATTTGTGTGATCAGGCTAGCTTCCTCGTGTCCAGATGAACTTCCCAAATCTTTTATCAAGGGTAGATTATAGATAGCATATCAGTATATGGTCTCTTTCTTTGGTTGCAGAGAGGTTTACATTATGACCTATGATCAGGAGCTGGAAAATACTAGAAATGTCTTTCATTTCTGTTCTGGATTGACATATTAATACCTTCAACATACTAAAATAAAAAGAAATGAAGATAAATAAAAAAAAAAATAGATATAGGATTGAAGTTTTAGGATGTTGATGGACAAATTGATTGTTTGGCATAAGCTGCCCTAGTTTGTCAAAACATGAGCCCTGGCATCTACCAGGAATTAGGATTATACAATGGTAAATCTACCCTTAGCATGGGGGAGTACTGGTTGGTACTTAGCTTTTTTGCGCCATGGCTCTTTGATTTGTTTTACTTTGAAGATGCCCAAGCTTTATTATCAGTGCTTTGTTCTGAACTTTCATTTTTGGGAGTTGGGAGAGTGAGAGTTGGAAGGAATTAGGAAGGATATGAAGTATATGGATTTGCATGAGGATGAGGCATTGGATCGTAAGGGATGGAGGTGGAGGATCTTTGTCGTTGATAACACGGAATAATCAAATTTGATTCATGTAGCCGACCCCACTTATGGGATTAAGGCTTTGATTGATTGATTGGAGAGTGAGAGTTGCTGAATATTTCTATACTCTTAGCAACAGTGTCTTTTACAAAATATTTTAAAGAAAATGAAGAGGAAAATAATAGTTGAAAACACCCCGGGGCCAAATCTAGCCAAAGCATACCATGAAGCTCTACTTGAGACTTGACGCGTACTTTTACTCTTTAACAGTATCTGTTGAAATGTCTGGCGGTGGTACATATGTCCTGACTTGTATCCTATCTTATGTGATATGTGTCCCACCTCTTTCAGATTCATCGCCAACTTTTACAAATTGTTTAATTTAATTGGTGAATGTTGATGGGGGATGGTCTTAGATAGTAGATCCCATATGGGACATTCTGCTTCGCCTTTATACTGGGTTGTGCTGAAAATGTGATGGTGTATGTTCTGTTTTTTTCTTATAATTCTTTGGATGTATTCAGAATATTGTGATCGCTATGCAAAGAAAGAAAACATTGATGCATCTGCTGCCGAAGATGAAAGTGATGAGGAGGACATCAGTAATGGGCAGTGCACATCAAGTGATGATGAAATTGCTGGACATGCAGACCCATAAATTAGAATTAATCATACAGGGACTAAGTTAATTTAGCTTTATCCCTTTTGTTCATTTGCTGGCTGTATCATGTTTTAGTTAGAATCACAATGATAATTTATGTCCAAGTCATTTTTTAGCTTACTAATTTATTTGTTTTAGTATAGTAAGAAAGCAGTTTGATAAAAATTGGTGGGCATGATCATCTGAATAGAAATTTAATGTGTGAATTTGATTTTCGCTACAATAGATTGATTTATTTGAATTGTCTTCATTGTTTTTCTCCTCTTACAGAGATTAGGCAAAGATCTGCTGCCTAAAAACCAGTTTTGCGCCGAACAGTATTGAAGATCAGAAATTTATATTTTTTGACCTAGAGACTCGACCTGTTCTTTTTGGTTCAGTCCGGAGTCACTCCGGACCTATTACGCCTATTTTTTGGATTATAATTTTTAGTCTTTCGAAATTCGTTATACATATACATGAGGGGCTGAGGGGCTTAGAGAATTGGAAAATAGACAATTTTGTAGAATGATATCTGGGCCTTTTTGAAATTCGTAAGGAAAGGATTAATATAGGGCCCTTGGAAAATAATACTGTAATAATACTGTATGTCCACTGCATTTGTAGAAGCCATCATTTGCAATTAGAAAACACTAATAGACAAGCTTTGAGTTGTTCCTTTCCTAAAAAAAACTGTCAAGTTAGTCATTTTGTCAATTATACTGTACTTTCCATTCAATGATCTCCTCATATAAAAAGAAATTAGAAAGTGAAAAAATAAAAATAAAAATAAAAATAAAAATAAAAATCTTGTTCCACTCAATGATATCCTATACAATTTGGAAATATCTCTTGATTTTTGTTTATGGAAAGTCTCGGAATTGGAATAGTCTAGCCACTTTGGTCTCTCTTTTGTGGGCTATTTGGCTTACTCGTAATTAAATTGTTTTTAGACAGGCAGTATGATCTCCTGCTTCCATTCTTCATATTTCTGCAGAATGGGTATCGCGTAGTTTGGAGGCTGCTACGCTTTCTAGCTCTATTTCATCCTTCCGGTTACGTTAGTTTCCGTGTCCTCCTCCTGTTACATCTAGGTGTTTACATGGCTCATATTCCAATATTGCAGATTTTTGTAGTCTTTGATGGTGCTTGAAACAGTTGTGATCAGACTGCAAGGGCAGGTTGGGTTTTCAGAGAGGGGTTTTCCCCTACTGTTTTGGGTGGGTATGCCTGAGCCTGTCGGACTTTGTCAGCTTTACAGTCGGAATTACAGGCTTGCTTATGGGCTCTTCAGGCTGCTAGACGAAAAGGTTTTTTGAGTCCATTACTCTATACGGATAGCACACTTCTGGCTTCTATGTTATGTCGTTCTTGTTCGGATGATATTTCTTATGTTTGATTATTGGGGGCTATTAGAGATATTCTGTTACAATTTGATTCATGTTGGATTTGTAAGGTTCATCGTCTTTGGGTTACTCCCAACTCACTGGTTGGTTTTTCATGCTCGTCAACGTCGTTTCCTTTTCTAGTTGTTTTGATTGTTATTTGTTTTGGTTTCCTTTTTTTTAGTTTCCTCTGTTGTTTCGTGTTTTCTTGCTTTAGTTTGCTCTCATATTGTACTTCTGTTTCGTTATATGAAATCTTTATAAAGAAAAGTAAATATATATATTAAAAAAAAAAAAAAAAAAAAAAAAAAAAAAAAAAAAAAAAAACCTAATAATCCATTTTGCATCTTTGCTAGATCAATTTCTCCCTCTATTTCAATGTATTGTTCATTTTCCTTCATTTGACAATATTTCTTTATTTTTTTAATCTTACCTATCTTATCCCTCTTATACAAGAATATCACTCACTCTCATTCTTATACTTTTTTACATCACAATAATAATTTTTTTACTTTTACCCCGCTCTCTCTTCCTTTTTCCCACTACCAAAAAAAGTGTGCCAATCTATATGGTGCAATAATAAAAGAACGAAGGAAGTATAATTTATGAAAAATAATAAGAAAAGAAAAGCATCATCACATATGCCTTTATTACTTGAAAAAAATTGAAACCAAACACTTGCTCGTACTACATTTATGAGATATGTAATAAATGAAACATTAAATTGATAAAGTGATCAACATAAGGAGAAACTGAACTCGGATGGTGAGATGAATTTGGTCATTAAATACCCCAAAACAATAAGATGGCTTGTTTTGACAACAGAGAAATAGTCACAAAAACGTATTGAAATAATTGTGTAACAAATAATTAGTACAACCTCCAGCCACTTTAGTTATAACATTTGAAAATTTGCACTATTTGCATATTTAAATTTGACCATCTTTGTTGATTTATTATTGTACAAAATATGTTAATGTTAATTTTTTTATCCTTAAATCGGACTATCCTTAAAGATATGATAGGTTAAAATTATTTATTGGCAAATATAAAAGTCAAAACGTTGCAATTATTAGTAAATGGATGAAAAATAATTAATGTGAAAGATCTAATTCTCAATTCTCCCACGTTATAATCATCAAAGCATTAAATTTACAAGTCATTTGATGAAAATGTTCTCATTGCAGATGATCATGCATTTGAGTACGCCAAAGGAAGTTGTTCAACCAGAGTTTTAATCTTGGTTGGTTTCTTTTCACTAGTTGCTTTGTACACTTATGTCACAACCTTACAACTTAACTTACTAATCTTACTACCTAAATCTTGTATATAGATTTACTTTATTACACGGAGAAAATACAAGTTGATATCCAATACCAACAGAACTTGTTAATATCAAGGATTTTTTGATAAATTCTTAAGCGGAAACCCCCTTTCTCTCTCCTCTATCACCACTGGCACCACCTTCTGACTACCGCATCACCACTAACACCATCATCCGACCATTGCACGACCACTAGCATGACCATTCGACCACCGTACGACCACTACCACTACCAATCGACCACTGCACAGCCATTAGTACCGCTAAACGACCATCGCACCTCCGCAAGAACCACCCTTTAAGGGTTAGTATGGGCCCACTTTACATATGTCCTATTAAAGTGTCTTTTGTTTAGCCAGCCGGCCGGTTTAGACTCGCGATGGTGGTCAGATGGTCAGTAAGGCTATGGGAGGGGAGGAGAGAGAAGGAATAGTGGCCATGGGAGGGAGGAGAGACAAAATTGAGTGGCCATGGGAGGGGACGGTCGGCAACATGAGAAAGGGGGTGGGGGGGAGGGGAGGAGAGAGAAGTTTTTTTATTCTCCAAAATATCACTATATTAACAAGAGATGTTAATATAAAATATTAATGGGGACTAGCTCTATTACACGTGTTACTTTAAGGGTTAATGAGACAATAACAAACTACCAATATTCAATAGGAGTATCTTCTACCTAAAGCTCAAAGTATACCATTGGCCTGGTAATAAAATAAAATTAAAATGAAGTACAAGTATCACGGTATGTTTACGGAGTTTATTTGGCATATACTTGTACAATTTTGCCATTTTTGGAGGTCTTTATCATCCTATCAATTCCTTAAGCAGCATGCAACATGCCCAACAAGCCGATTGTCGACATATTTTAAGTGTCTTTTGGAATTGGAAGCTTTGGTTATAACAAATATATATATATATATATATATATATATATATATATATATATATATATATATATATATATATATATATTTGTATGTATATATAGGAGGGATCCGGTGAGAATAGACTCATATGTGAGAAAACATACTTATATGAGAACTGATCTTAATTTTAGAACACGTGAGTAAAAATTTAGAACATATGATTAAAAATTCAATACACATGATTTAAACTTCAGAACACATGATTTTCAAATTTAGAACACGTGAAAAATAATTTAGAACATCTACGCGAGTAATAATTTAGAACATTTAATTTTGGATTTATAACAATTAAAAATTTAAAATTTAGAAAATTTGAATAAAATTTAAAACATCTGATTTAAGATTTAGAACATGCGAATAAAAAATAAGAACACCAGATTTTAAATTTAGAACATATAAGTAACATTTAGAACATCTGAGTAAAAGTTTGGAACATACGAGTAATACTTTAGAACATATGATTAAAAATCTTAGAACACAATTTAAAATTTATAACATATAAGTAAAAAGTTAGAACAAATAATTTAAGATTTAGAACATGGGAGTAATGATTTAAGACATTTGATTTAACTCATTTAAGATTTAGAACACGTATTTTAAAATTTAGAACATCTGATTAAAATTTAGAACATACGAGTAAAAATTTATAACATGCATGAGAGTGTTCTCAGTCTTCTCACAAATGAAAGAGTTCTCACACAAAAGAGGAATTCTCACAAGAGTCTTCCCCTAAAGTTGGGATATGGTGCCCTAAAGTTGGGATCTGGTGAAAAGCATGCTTATGGTGAAAATTGTGAGAAGTTAGATACATTAAGTTACTATGGTAGATACATCAAGTTATAATTATAGGTACATCATGTTTACCTTTTAAATACATTAATCTCATTGGCATCTAAATTTCAGCAGAAAAAAATGAAAGGGTGATAAAGGGCACCCAAGCCACATGTTGTTCGTCCCCTCCTCTTCCCCAATGCATACCTCAATAAATATCAACAATGCCTTATGCATTTACATACATAAGTATTGTAATATAAATACATCATAATTGTGTTGTAAGTGTGTTAAAGATACATTTATGAACTTCCTGCTAATAATATAGTGCACTTAAATGGTCACATCAATGGCTACTTGTGGGGAATATAGGAAAATATATTATTGTGATATATTTTCCATATATATCTTATAATATTATATTTAGGATAATAATATATCTTAGTGATATTCTAAGATAGATTTATGAAAGTTTATATGATAGAGTTTATATTGTGTAGGTTATCTTATGTAGACTATAAATATTAGCCAAGATCATCAATACAATTAAAACTATTCTCTCATAAATAATTTGTCACTACTACTCGGGTACAAAAACCCATCACACCCTCTGTTACAAGCTGAGTTCTTCTGCTTACGAAGACCATCACCGACTACTACATACCTTAGCTTGAGTTCTTTTGCTTATTGAGTTTGAAATTTCTTGGTTGCGTTCATCAAGATGTTTGAGCTCCACGATTTTCAAGTTGATCGGAAAATCGAAATCATTGATTTTGTGCGATTCAATTGACTCATTCTTATGGAAAATGGATGAGGTAAGAGCTAGCACAAACCAAGAGAGAGAAAACCATGAAATAGGGGTTGGGCGTCAATTTCGAGCTCCATGCTTAATGCCTCCATATCAACATTAGAACAGGGGAAGCGAAAGAGAGACGAAGGAGAGAGGAAAAAAATATAATTCCTCCGTTCTTTTCTTATTGCATCATAAGGGTTTTGGAGGCAAAATTGAGGCAAAATTTGGTAATGGGAAAAAGTAAGAGAGAGAAACGTAAAAATACAAAATTGTCCATCTAATGTAAAGATAAAATAAATAGTAAGTGTGAAAAGTAAGGATATCTTGAGTATTTGCAATGTGAACATATTGATATTTTTTGTAAAAATTGTATAATACACCAGGGTGCACCATGCTCATAGTGCACCTGGTGATGTGGCATAACTAATTAGCATTAAATTAGTGAAAAATTAAAAAAAAATAGTGGAAAATACTAAAAAAAAAATCTGGGCGAAATTATAGGGAATTATTCCCTTTAAACTGCTTTCAGTTCTAAATTATTATCTTTAATGGACATTTTCCATTTTAAAAACATTTTTGGGTTTCAATAATACAAAGTATGTTCTTTGAATTTGGCTCATATTTTCTTTGAGGTAATGAGTGATGCACAAATTCTTTTTTGAATTATCATATATCATTATTTTTTATTGTCGTATGTTCTTTGAGTTTGATCAGTGTGTTCTTCGGATATGAATTATATGTTCTTTGCATTATATTTTATGCTCTTTTAACATATGTATGTTATTTTGAATTTTGAAATATAATTTGAAAATGAAATCTTTGTTTTTTCTTAGTTGAAAATATTTTAGAGAGAGAACTAAAATTATTATGGAAAGTTAATTTTTGGAGAGAGAAAAAACAATTTTTGGGGAAATGACATCTTTGGTAAAGTTTTTTTCCGTTAATGTGTAATTTTTCATAAATTTTTAATAAAGTTTTTATCACGTTTTTTTTTTGTAATGTCTTTATGTTCTTTAATAATGCATGCTCTTTACTAAACACAAACATGTTCTTTTTCAAAAACCTACATATTTTTTTTCAAACAGCTAAATGTTCTTTCCGTCTTTTTTTTTATTTAACCAGGTGCACCATGGTGCACCCGGGGTGCACAGATCATGCATTGTATTTTTTTGTCCTAAAATGAAAGTGATGCAATATTTGTGAAACTTCCCTTAAAGGCAAGTGATGCGATATTACAAGAACGGAGGAAGTATATATATATATATGAATTGAGCTTCTTCAACCATGAGAGAAGACTATCCTAATTTATGTTACTCCATATCCTTTTTTAAAAGGGTAATGCTATATGTAGCCCTTACGAGTTATGACTACAAACAAGTATTTAATATCTTTCCTTTTTTGGTATAAGTTTAGGAATGCATGACAAAATCACGCGCAGATTAGTGTAATTAATGAATATATTTCGTTAATACATTTCTCTTTTAACTTCTTATACATAACCTTTAGGGTTACATATAACATTTTCCTTTTTAAAATGGTAATTGATTGTTGTATCAAAAAATTTAATTATCAGGTACAGATCTTAAAAGTATACCAACTCAACCTAGAAGCACTAAAAATAAAATTTGAACTAGATTCGAAATTGGCACAACCTAAATGTGACTCAAACCCAATATGATCAACGACTTGATATGACTAATATTGAACTTGACGCGACTCAAACCAAACCCGACCAAACACCTTTAGGTGCCCTAATCCAAATCTGACCTTAACCGTTTACAATAGACAATGACAAGGTTTGCCCACGGTCAGAAAGGCATATAACCACACATGGCCATGCATGCCTCATTATTTTATTTTATATTTTGGTTGGTAAGGAGAAGGGCCCTACCAGGCCAAAACCTTTCGCAGGTCCTCTCGACCAAGGTTAGCGGACTATGTATTTTGGGAGTGGGGGGAAGGGTAAGGGTAAGAGAATCCCCATCCCAAAATATCTCTAATGGGGTTTAATCCACAACCTCTTGATTGGGAGATGCAAACCTTATTGGTGGCCTTGCCTCATCATAGTCATCAACAATTTAACTACTTGTAGAAGATTTGAGTTGATGTCCTTAATTGATGAGTTGATGGATACATTCACATGATGACATCCCAAATTCCCAAATGCAACATTTTGGTACTTTGTAAATTTAATGGCCAAAGTTAAATGGGACAACCGGACAAGTGTTTGTTTGTACGATCTCCTTGTAGATTACTGTTTACGTACACGGTGCACCCTTTCACGAGATAATAAATAACGACTACTTTCCCATTTTATACGTTGCTTGCTTGAAATTAAGACATTCATTTAATGTCATTCACATAGTATATGCTTTGCTATACGGTACTGTGGTATCATCTACTGATTACACTACACGAATATAAAACATGTTTATTATAGCCCCACTACTACTATTTTACATCACCGTGTCATTTTACATCAATTCATAAAAGAAATTAGGACAGTGAGCTTCTTGTTTTGGAGTGTAGATAATTAGATATATTCAAGATTTCAAGTACATGCGGCCTATATAGTGTAGTCCCAATTGCCCCCCTTGGGCCTTTAACGAATCTTGTTACATCAATTATACTACAAGTTTAAGTAAGAAGAGTGTTTGAATATGTACAAGTAAGTTTAACTAGTTTAATAGATCCATTATCGATATAGAAATGATTAATTCAACACAATTTGGAATAGAGTTTATTAATCGAATTTCCATTGCACTACTAGTCTATAATTATGCAGTGTTGAACTGTTAATCCTTTGTTTCTTTCATATGAAACGAGTTATATAACTATACTTCATATTATTTTATCCTACAGAATAATATATAAATAGGGACTTTTCTCTCACTATAGTGTTTACACAACATAATCCGCCCTTTTAAAAAACTCGTTATAAAATTATATTATCACTCAAATTAATTACCATTCTAAAAGTAGCATTAAGTGGTAATGAAAATTTAATGGAAAATGAACATATTTGGTGATGGAATGTTATTGCCATAAATATTGATGTGGAACGAACTCTATTTATCATTTTATATACGAAGTATATAAACATTATCACTAATGCTACTTATAAATGTTTATAACCATTCACAAAACAAATGTAAAAGTGTGAACACCAAATAATGAAATTTGAGCTCTGAAATTAGTATAAGCCTACCAAAAAAAAAAGTCCCCATTGAATAGAATAAAGGGGTTGTAATCAAAACATTACTCCCTTCATGAATATTTGCAACAATTTGACCTATCACACTTACTAATGCAACACTTGCATCATAATTATATACCGTAAATTTGTATTAGTAAAAGTTATACGAAATAAATAAAAATTGATGTTTGAAAAATATAAAATGTGATTAATCTAAAAACATATTTTTACACTAACATTTGAATAATGTATGAATCGTGTAATAGTTAATTTTGCTAATTTTGAGAAATGAGATCAAGAGTAATAAAAATAACATAAATTTAGTAAAACCCTAATTAGGTTGGACTACCAACAAACATCACATGATTTCTCAACCACTATCAAACAATGATGGTTATAATAATTTCCACTTAAGTGTAGAAATCCATGAGAAGTTGAAAACAAAATTGATAATTGTTCTAGACCCACAATCAACAAGTCTTCTACAAAGAATTGCTTTATTTATTTTTGTAGTTATAAATGCAATCATAACTTATTTTCATGTTTAAAATGATTGAATTTAACCATTTTACTCCTCATTTAACCACTTTATTATTTGGCTATTGTGCATGCATTGTTTGATTTTTCTTTTATTTTTTTTCTAATAAAGGCATGCTAACTTTGCTAAGTGGAGACATGAGGGACATAACTGATAATTTGGTCAATTACGGAGCAATGATTAACTCGATAACTGACGAGTGTTATTCTCTTAAGAAGAAAGAGTACGGTGATTCAATTTTAGTCAACGTCAAGTGCTGCTTAGGGGCTCGAGATGACTACTAAATAATGTGATTAACTTAGTAAAGCTCGAAATTAAAGCATATAACCTCAAGGCACTACATATACTATCAATTTGAATTCAAGATATGTTTTAATCACGTTAAGTGTAATCTAGTGATATAAATTGTACATTTATACTTTAGCTTTCTTATGTTTAGCTTTTAGCCTGCTAATATAATTTGAGTAGACTCATTTAAGATTTCGAACTAATAGAATTGTTCTTCTTACTAACAAAAAAGAAATAAAATCAAATACATCGTTTCGAGATATTTTGGAACTCAAATTTTGACTTTGATAATTACAAGTCTCAATATAGCAAATGATATATATACTCTTGTTGTTTTAGGTTATGTGACAATATATTATTGGCTTATTGACACTTTGAGGTTTTCATAAATTCATGATTTGTTAATTGTTATACATCAATGCCTCAAGTGAACTTATCTAATCATATATTATTGCAAAACTAATTCTTCACCTTGTGTCCTTGTGTAATGCACAAAGTTTTTCCAACATAAGATGCACCTTATCTTATTTTGCAGTGACTATATATGACTATACTTAGAAGTTAGAAACGCTAAATTGGACTTTCAACTGTGGAGGTCTAGAGGATACATATTATGAAGAGTTCAAATCATGGTGAGGAAATGAAGGAGAAGACGGGTACAATGCTAAAGATTATTGAGAACTCACTCGTAAATTGAGATGATTAATTATTAAAGAGAAAGGAGGATATTCAATATTAAAGTACAAGTTATGTAAAGTTGTAAGTCACTCACCCTGAGATTTAAACTTGTATGAGATCAAACTATCCTCAGCTCATATATAAGGAGGAGTTTGTAGATAAATTTAAAGTGTGTGCATGTGAGCATGTGTGTGTTTGTGGGTAGAAGAGTCATAATTTTGAATTCACGATTGAGATTTAAACTCTTATCTCTACATTATATAGATAAGTTACATTGCATTCATATATTTATTACATACTAATAATATATAAATATAAGTATTATCGATAATTGTATATCATCACCATATATGACAATATGAGTAATTTACATGGTGAGCAAATTGTGTTTGTCATATTCATATGTGGACTATTATGAGATAGACTAAGAATTACTTATATGGGCAAAATCATATTCAAATTAACAGCCAGCCGATGCCAATCTGGAACAACTCAATGAGAATCAGCTCATGGCTTCTACTGCTCCCAACGCATTTGATTATAGATCATGCACAATTACCAAAATTAATCATCAACAAAAATACAAATTATGCTTATTAATCTTTTCATTCCATTCTAAATTAATAATATTTAAATATCTGATTTGTACCAAGTAATACTACACTAATATAAAATGACTTTAGTAGCTCTGTAATTGTCTACTAAACTGTCATAGCTAATACCATATTAGTTTAATATAAGGGCAGAATTAATTTCTTCAAAAGAAGCAAATAAAATCCAATAAAAAAAGCCATCACTTTCTAACATAAATTTAATACTCGGGTAATACACACGAAAGCATAATGCCCATCATATTTTCAAACCTTTCTACTTCGCCGAGCGGTAGAGAGAGCCAAATGAGACCTTCTTCCCCTTCCTTTGCTGAACTACTTCTTTTCAGAATTTTTTTTTTTCCCCTTCTCTCTCTAACCCACAAAGTGGAAGTGAAAAAAGAAAAAAGCAATGTATTACCCAGCTTTCCTTTTCATCTAAAAAGAACCATTATGAACTTTAAAACAAAAAAATTAGAGGAAAAAAAAGAAAAAAAAGGAGAGAAAAAACTCAAAATTTTGCCTCAAATTTCCAAGAAAAAGGGCCCAAAAACAATAGTCACTCAAAACCAAATCCCATTTTTTATTACCTAAATTACTCTAACCCACTTCTCAATCTACGTACTCTGTTTTATTTTGGTATTCAGCTCCCTAAATCTATGAGGTAGGTCACCTGAATCTCCACTTTCACTAATTTTTTTTTTTCTATTTTACCTAATAAAGATTCAATCTTTTAACCCAAATTTTCTTCAAATTATTGCTGTTAATTTCAACATTCTTGGCACAATTTTTCTGGGTTTTTAATTTCATTTTCTGGGTCAATTTCTGTACATTTTTTAGCAATTAAATGGTTGAATTTGAAAAACCCAATTGCTAAAAATAATGTCTAAAAATAGTAACATTTCAATTCCACCAGCTCCTTCAACCCCTCTTCCTTCATTTCCATCTCCTCCAATTTCTTCTAATTACAGTACAATTAGCCCAGTTCTCCTTCTAATTATAGTAATTTTAGCAATAATCTTCTTTATTGCTGGAATTCTTCAATTTTTAGTTAGATATCTTATGAAAAGACCCTCATTTTACCCCTCAAATTCACTTTCTAATTCTAGAAACCCTGAAAGTACAAATTCCGGCGCAATTCAAAGGCAACTTCAGCAGCTTTTTCGGCTTCATGATTCTGGGTTAGACCAACCTCTTATTGACGCTTTACCTGTATTTTTTTACAAAGATATCGTCGGTTCGAAAGAACCCTTTGATTGTGCTGTTTGTTTATGTGAATTTTGTGACCAAGATAAGTTAAGGTTGTTACCATTATGTAGTCATGCCTTTCACATTAGTTGTATAGATACTTGGCTTTTGTCAAATTCCACTTGCCCTCTTTGTAGGGGTAGTTTATTGGGGTCTGAATTGGAGAATCAGGAGTTTAGCTTGGAGTTTTGGAGGGCAATGTCATTTGGAAGATCAATCGATTGCGAAACGAGCTTTCGTATTGGGAATTCGTTTAATACTAGTCATGGTTATAAGCCTACTATCATGGAAGAGAATTCGAATGAAAGGAGAGTGTTCTCTGTAAGGCTAGGGAAGTTTAAGAGTTCGAATGATCGAGGTGGGAGTACTAGGGAGTTTGAAAATGGTGAGACGAGTAGTGCCAAAGGCGGTAATGGTGACCGCGATCACAATAATTGTAATGGTAATGTTAGTGTTAGTAGTCAGATTGATGCAAGGAGATGTTTCTCATTAGGGTCATATCAGTATGTGCTTGCTGATTCGGAGTTGCAAGTAGCATTATCGACTGATGTCGGTGCTAGTAGTCGTGTTACAAAGAGCGAAAAATTGATGGGCCAATGTGGGAATAATCATATGGTAGATGGAGATATTGAAGGGAAGAAGATTACTAAGAGGAGCAAAGGGGAGAGTTTCTCTGTATCAAAGATATGGCTTTGGTCTAAGAAGGGCAAATTTCAAGGTCATTCAGAAGATTCTAATGTTAATGGTGGTCCAACACCTTTCAATGTTGTCTTACCATTGTCTACTAGAGATCATGTTCTTCATTAATTTGTTCAATTACTGTATTTCTTTTTGTATAATTCTTTTTGGCCATCTTCATTAATTGAGTAAACTATACTTTACCATAATCTTTTTTGATCTTATACTTTTGTTGCTTTCTCCTTGTTACTTTTGTTTGATATATTTGAAGTCATACTCTTTATAATAGCACTTCACTTCCTGTTATCTGTTGCACGCTCGTAGCTCTTCGTGTTAATGAATGACAACAGGTCGGATCTGTGACCAATTTCTGCTCGAAGTTAGTTTTACCGGTTTTAAATTGATTTTTATATTCGAATCCGATTCGGATTGAATTTGGTAAAAGTGAAAACTTCAAATTGGTTGTTCAACCAAAAGGGGAAAAAGGAAAAAGCAATGTAAAATAGTGGTAGTAAAAACATTCTGTTTCTTTCTTTCGATGTTTCTCCCACTTTTATGCAAAAAGAGGCAAAGAAAGCATAAGGTCCACCAATGTCAAATGACAAATCTCTGAAAAAGTCAAATAGGGTAAGATGGCGTCACGTTACCATAGTCAACAGTAATTGCATTTTTGTTGGAGCTGCTAACATTTGGTTTGGACTGTCTGTGTACTCTGCAGTGAAATTTAGCTGGCTGTAAGAGATTAGGTATGAGTTAACAGTTAACAGCCAAGATGTACTTGTATTAATTTATTATGTCTGTACCAAATGATTGATATGGCCTAATGAAGATATGAAGGTGTATAAGATCTCATAATTGACTGATATCCAATTAGTGGCGGATCTTGGCTGAAAAATAAGAAATTCGACATTATTCACAATTGAATTTGTATTATCTTGGTTTAAAATCTATAATTAATACAAAGTAAATTATTTACCAGTAGAACATGTCAAGAGTCTCAAGACTATCAGTGATGGTTAGCAATCGCATGACACAATAAAAACAATAATTTGTAAGGCTGTAAGCAATAAGAGGTAATATAGAATGGGTTTAATCTTAAGTCCTGCTACACTCCCATGTATTTCCTCTATACCACGGTTAACCAAGTCGGAATTCTCGTAATTGTGCATACCCTTGATACTTCCTTCATGTTTGAAACTTATATACACGTTGAGTATATCCCTTTTAAATATTATTCGGTACTACGTATGGAGTATAAATATCAAATAGCATTTTCATCTTATTCAATGTACACTTTGCCCATCATTTAAATAACAATTAGTCTTACAATCAATCATGATTCATGATTATGTAAAATATTTTAGGCTATATAACTATACTTATTTTGTTTTATTAGTGGTTTGGGAGGTCGATGATGGTTATTTATTGCATGAGTTAGAAAGAATGAATCTGCTCAGAAATTCTCAAGTAGCAAGAATGTTCCATGGATGAATGATGGTGATGGTGATGGTGATGATGAACGTCTATCAGTGGCGGACCCAGGAATTTCCGACTGGTGGGTCACAATCGATAATCAAGTATGTAAAAAAAAAAAAAAATTACCAAACAACCAAATAATAGTACTAAAAAATACATCCAAATATTCAAACAGTACAAAATACAACCAAATGTTCATATAATACTACAAAAGACAACTAAATAGTAATGCAAACTTATTACAATAGTTCTCGACGAGTTTTCATGTTTTGATATCGATTCATGATATCTTCCATGCTAACATTCAAAAACAAATCATTCTCCAAATAAGTAATTAAACAATCATTCAACATTTGATCTCCCATGCAATATTCCCTAGAAAAATTATTTGAATAAATATCCAACTAAATCAAGCAATTTCACATAATGACATAATCACATAAACATATTACACAAAACACAATTACACAAAACAGATTTCACATAAGTTCAAGAGACAAGTAATGCAAATTTGATCAAAAATTCACAAAAAAAAAAAAAGAATCAATTGATGAAATTAGAAATCAACTTACTCATTCCCTTAGAAAACCAAGAGGTTGCCAACCTGGCCTTGGGCGAGACTACGTTTTCCTTTGATGCTCATTCCCTTTAGTGGACTCAAGCATTAATTATTTTGACACTTCTAAGCACTCGAATTTGTTATCCTTGCCGGGAACTCCAGCATAATAGCCTTATTTGCACATTCATCATTGCAATCTTGTTTTGTGCTGTGTTTACAGCCAACTCCAACACTTCAGTGATTGACAGGATATAGAGTAAAGTTAGCAAAAATTCAAAATCGGCTACAATATTAGAGCTCAATTTAGACACTAAATTAGGCCAAATTTTTAGGTTACAAAGAAAATAAAAAAATACAAGCAAAAAGTCATATTAAACAAAAAAAAAATCCAACAAGAAAGTATGAGAATAAACCTAGAATGAAATAAATGGCCAAAGAAATTAGCGAAGCAGAACAAGATAGATTAGAAATGAACACAAATTTCAACCGAAATTATTATAATAGGTGAGAAGAAAAACTTTCAATCAGGGTAGAATGAATTTCTATCAGATGCTAGCACCATTAGGATGGTTGAAAGGCAAAAGCAAAGCAGTCCAATTGATTTGATATTCAATAATAAAAAAAAAATAAACAAATAGAGCAAAAAAAGAAATTGAAGTGAAAATCAGAAACTACTTCAATGGAGGAGATAAAGCACAGTAGGCGCTTCGATGGAGAACTAGCGAGTAGCGATTTCGAAATGCGATTATGCGACTATGCGAGAAGCCACGAAGAGGACGGAGTCCACGACCACCGACGGACCGACCACCAGGCGAAGAGAACGGTGGCTGCCTGGCTGGGACGAAGCGAAGAGGCGAACTGAAGAATGGAGATGAGGCGAAGTCGCGAAGAGAAGAAGGCTAGGGTTTGATTGTTTGAAGAAGACAGAAACTCGGGATTTCGAAAGCAAATGTCAGTTTTTTTTTTTTTTTTTTTCAAAAAATAACTTAAAATTTTTTTTTGGGCCTGGTGAGTCACTTGACCCACCAGGTCTAAGCCCAAGTCCGCCACTGACGTCTATGACTCTATGATGCTAATGGGGGATGGTGAATGGGTTTTTATTTTCTTTTTCCTTTTTCTTTAGTGGTCATTGATCAATATTACAAATTTTGATTTGGGTTGTAAGTGAAGAATGGGCTTGAAAGTACTCTTATGGGCTAGAGAAAATTGAAGATAAGCTAATAACCCAAAAATTATCATGTTTTAGAAAACACCCAGCAATTATAATAGTTTAAGAAAAATAAAGTTTAAGAAATACTTTCTCCGCTCTTTTTTACTTGACCTGCTTTGACTTTTACACTATTCATCATCCCTCCTTTCACCGTTTTTTGTGAATAATATGTAAGGAAAAACATATTCATGTGGGATCTTTTAAATTCGTCTCAATAAGTACTATCATAATATATAACTTTTATAATTTTTATATACGGAGAATTAAAGTTATTGATCGTTATAATTTTGCATTGACAAACGTGATAAAAGAAACAATTCAAGAAAAAAAAACAGAAGAAGTGTATTTACTTATTCTTTAAACCATTTTAAATTTTTAATAAAATGTAATGTAATAAAATTTAGCAGTCCAATAACTCCAAATAGGGTTTTGAATTATTATTTTCAACTCTAACTACTAGGTCAATACATACCATGCAACCATGCAATAATCTTAAAAATCAACATTAATAATCAACATATAAGTAAAAGACGTGGTATATAATTTTTATTCATTAGAACAGTAAAACTTACATAAGCTAAATTTGATTTTCAATCGTATTCACAATCATAGCTATAACAGTTATGACAATCAAAAATAGAAGAGCAATGAAGGAGAGATCAACGAACTGCACCACGATTAGGACGATAACAGTTACAATAATAGCTATATGACGTACACCATCGGCATCGGAAGTTTCCCGTAAGTATTCTATTTGTCACATATAGTAATATTCTTTTCAGTGTACTATTAATAACTAATAATCATGATTGACTTCCCCGGTCCTTTGGTTGGGGGGTTTAAATAAAGGGAAAGGGAATGAATCCCTTTGTTGTCGTTTATTAGCCACAATCTTTCATTCCCTTTCCCCTTTCTTATTTTTGGGTTCACCCAAAATCATTCCACCCCCCCTACCTTTCCCATTCCCTTTCCTCAACCACCACCATACCCACATCAGCCGGTTGCTCGCTGCACCTCGCCCGGACGCTCACCGACTTCGCTGCACCTCGCCGGATGCTCGCCGGCCCTCCCCCGACCCTCGCCGCCCTTCGCCCCCCCCCCTCCCACCCGGAAATCCTTCCCCACCCACGCATAACCCTTAAAAAACCCTCCCCTCCACCGGAACCAAAGGCCATATCCATCAGCGTGGCTAGGTTTCGGTCGTGGATGGTTCGTGGGGTTGCTTGGCTGGGTTTCGGTCGTGGTAGTTCGTGGGGGAGGCGTGGGTTTGGATTTGGGTTCGTGTGTGTCTGGGTGAGGTGCGGCCGGTGGGGTAGGGTGGGGTGGCTGGAGAAGGTGGAAAATAATGAAGGAAGGGTGTTGTGGTGGTGCTATGGTGGTGTGATTCCCTAACTTTTTTTTTAAAACAAACAACATGCTTAATTATAAGGGTTACATTCCATTCTCCTCCATCCCCTTTCTGCATTCCATTCCAATACCCCTGTGCGAACCAAACGACCCCTTAGTGTTATTTCTTTTTTTTAGTTTTTTTTTTTTTTGAGTTTGATTGGAGACATTTAATATTATATTCAAGTATTATTCTTTGAAAAACTAATTCAGATTATAGCAATGGTGGATAAACGATTTTAGAATATGGATGTCGAAATTTCTAATTCGTACATCGTCTCACAACAAATGACATGTTTGATTTTTAATTATATTGTATTTAGTTATGTACTAACAACATTGATCATAATTTTTTTTTAAGTGTATGTACTAAAAACATTTTTTATCATGAAATATGTACATAAATAAGTACTTCGTATTACTCTAATGTTACGCAATATCAAACTTTTTATATTTAAAGTCAAAATAGTACATTAACATATTTGTTGAGTTAGTCATTTGTTTGAATACAGTAGATATTTAACTATGGCTACTTTATGAAAAAGAAAATTACTTTTAAAAGAAAAAAAAAGAAAAAAAAAATTGGAGCTGAAGATAATGGTTAAATGGTAGAGGTAG